ACAGGACTTGAGGGCTTTCAGTTTCCTCCCAGTGCAGACATCACAGGCCACATCTTCAGCTCCAGCATAGCAGTGATCAGCAGCAGCAGCTTGGAGTCCAGTCTTCTTCAGCTCCTCCACTAAAGCTGCTAACATGGTGCTTTTCACCAGTTCAGGCCTCGGTCTGAACGTCTTTCTGCACTGAGGGCAGCTGTGGACATGTCTCTGGTCTTCCTCATCCCAGTGTCTTTTAATACAGTTCATACAGTAGCTGTGTCCACAGGGAATAGTCACTGGATCCTTCAGTAGATCCAGACAGATGGAACAAGAGAAGGCTTCCCGGTCCAGCTGAACTCCTTTCTGCGCCATTTCACCTCTCAGTGTCAACGACTGTCTGAGTTTCACTTTCTGACAAGTGAAACCAGTTTGAGCGCTGATCTACACAACATGTGTTTGTGCAGTGAACGGGGTCTGTCAGCTCTCGCACGTCACCACATGTTGGTTACACCCACCTTCAAACTGTAGATCTGAAGGGGAGGGAACCAGGAAACATCAGGACAGAGTGGAGCTGCTGTGTCAGAGAGAAGAGGGAGGGTCATCAGACTGGACGTCATTACAGGAAGAGGAGCGTTCTGACACACTGTGGGATTAACCCTTGTTAATAATAAATCTTCTTTCTTATTTAGAAACTGATCACTTCATCTTTTTGGGATTAAACTCCTCTTGGGATCTCTGGATTTCTAGATGGGTCCCCACTTTTCCCAATTTAATCTTTTCTTATTTTTAAATACACTTTGGTTAAACTTTTGAATGATTAAATACATAGACTGAAACATTTCTAACACACTGTGTTTGTTTTTTCACAGCCTGTAACACTGATGCTATGTTCATTTCACATGGGAAAGGTGGCAGAGAACATTTTCCAGGTTACAAATATTATTCACATCAGCTCTTACGTTGTAAACAGAAGTGAGATTTGAGGCAAATTGTTAATACTTTTTATGCTTGACTAACATGGAAATACTCAACATAATTCTTTTACTCTCATTACCATTAATTGAAAGCAAATCAGTCATTTTACAAACAAATGTCACATAAAGAATTAATGAAAAACTGTGCGAGAATGGAAAAAAAGAAAAGATCCACATCAGCAGTTGCAGCAGAGGATAATTTGGTACTGGTTTGTTTGTGGCTGCAGGGCAGAGGAGACAGACTGTACTCAGCTGATGCACTGGAAAAGATACATGATGAATGGTTGAGTGTTTCTTTCACTGGCACCGTGTCAAGTGCCAATGAGTGCTGGGCCCTGCCAGTGGAGAATCAGAATCAGATTTATTGGCCAAGTGTGCTGAACACACAAGGAATTTCCCTCTGTTACAGTGGCGCTCAGAAGAACAATAAGTAACATTAAGGATGGTGATATTATAGGCTGGATATGATTAGGTTTAGCATTAAGTCTAGATAAATTAAAATGATTCTTTAATATAATGATCTGTGTGAATATGTGTTATATACTTTGTATTGAGTTTTAATATTGAAAATAACCCCTTATTTAGACTGATGTTCAGCTGAAGTCAGAGCGGGACATGTTCATATCTCGAATAGATGCAGTTCATCTCTGAACCTGTGGTGTCGCTATGAACTGACCCGCTGCTGCAACAACGGAAGTTTTTGTTTCTCGCGATATTTTGTGCTTTCATTGATTTGAAATATGGCGTCGGAAGGAGAGGCGGCCAGCGCTGCAGTAAATGAGCAGGAGGCTGGAGAGGGGTATGGGTGCTTTATGTCAAACATGTTAACCTTTAGAAGTTTGTAGCCCTTGACTCTGCTATTCCGTGAAAGTTTAAACCGCAAATATTATTTTATTTAAAAGCTGTGCAGACTCGCTAGCTAACGGTAGCGTCCCACAGACCCAGTGGTCCAAACATAGACTGTACGGACAAATAACGTAATAGCTTAGCTACTGTTTGTAAAGAAAAAAGGTATCGGCAAGAAAATAATTACATTTTACTAGAATATTAAAGGTGTTTTATCTGGTAAGGCAGACTGCATTGTTTATGAACAAAATTTTTAACCGCGAGAGTGAAATGTAGTTTGACGCAGAAAAGCTCTTTCAGTAACAAATTATTAGCCATAATCACTTTTTGGAGAGGAGAATATTGCGTTTTGCTGGTTATATTAGAAATGTAGAGGCATCTTAACTAGTTCATAAGGTTAACAACCTTTTAACAGATCACACGAGTGAAAGTGATCCGAGGCAGAAAAGCCCTTTCAGTATAAAGATGTTAGCTTCAGTCCAAGACAGTCGATTTCACATGAAACCGCACAAATTAAAATCGGCACTTCACACTGAAATGTGCATTGTTTATACAGTGCATGTGTGAATGAGTTGAAAAGATGGGTGGTTTTGATGAATTCATTTTTTCACAATAAGAATGTTTTCTTCAAGAAATTGATCAGTGACTCTCTAATGTGATATAGATCCGTGTTTTTTGATCTGTAGTGTTTATTGTTCTCTCTTGTAAACTTACCGAACAGTTATATCTTGTACATTGTACACAACTTTTAAAGGCTTGAGTCTGTTCTGTTTTTCTACCAGTTGGTATGAACGTACCTCCTGTGCTTAGTAATCTAACTGATCTTTCTGCTGATTGTCAGAGATGCTGCATTTGGAGAACTACCCACCAGTATGGATACGGAGTCTTCAAATGGCAAAGAGGGGATGGTACGTTGTTTTACATTAGTGTTATGTATTTGTTTTTACTTTCTGTATTTTCTTTTAAATGTCAGTGTAGCTGACTTGGTTTCTGGCTGCATGCAGTACATGCTCTCCGTGGCTTTGCTGTAAAATATCATACACAAGCTGTTATTATAGCAGATTTTCTTTGTCACAGGAGACGGGCGGTGAAGGCTCCGAAGCCGCTGATGCTCTGACGGGATCAGGAGACGAGGAGAGTGGGAGGCAGCTGGGGGAGGTGGAGCTTCAGTGTGCCTTGTGTATGAAGTGGTTCACCGCTGACACGTTTGGCATTGACACTGCGTATGTATATTGACTGTATAAGTCTACTAGTAAATTGATCTGGGAAAAATGAGAATTTATGTGACAGTACTGATAGTTTTCATGATGCAGTCTTTGACCCCCCCACAGGACTTGTCTTCCCTTTATGACCAATTATGTGTTTCACTGCAACATGTGCCATCACAGTGGCAACACATACTTCCTCAGGAAACAAGCAAGTAAGTGCTACAGACTACCTTCAATCAACATAACAGTGGATTTAAGTTTTGCCATGCTTACAGAATCATTAGGCTTTCACAAACCAATGTTGTTGTTGTTTTCAGACCTGAAGGAGATGTGTCTCACAGCCCTGGCAAACCTGACATGGAGGTCCAGAACACAAGAGGAGCACCCAAAGACCATGTTCTCCAAGGACAAGGTGGGGTCTCCTCTGCACAATCAGCATAATGCCTTTTTACAAACTTGTTATGATGCTGATACAGGCTTGTAAAGCCCTTTTAATACACTGTATGTGATGATGCTTTGATTTTCAAATAAGCTTGGTTTGATTTTCATTGGTGGTCATGCCACAGATTGATGCTACATCTTGACCTGTAGTCAGACAGTGCATAAATAAAGATTAATCCACCATAAAGAAAAGATTAATTTAACACCCATTGCTATTACGTTACTAAAAGATAACTGCATGTAGTTGAAAGAAATTCATTTAGAATCATATTTCAGTCTAAATGTAAATAAAACACAATAGAACTGTACAAATGTTTTGCTGTCACAGTCTGATATCAGATTTTGTGTTTTATATATCTTAGCGCTGTTCATCATCTGTCGGGCAGTGACATAAAAAACAAAAACCACCGTGCGCAGAACAGGTTGACGTAACCAATTATGTAACATCCTATATTAAAGTTATAATTAATTTGAATTATCTTATGCTGCTTGAAAGGGAGACAACAGGAGGAACTGTGCACATTAGCCTCTAGAGGCCATTGTGTTAACTGTGTACATATTTTTTCTATTTATTGCAGGATATCATACCATTCATTGACAAGTACTGGGAGTGCATGACAACTCGTCAGAGGCCGGGGAAGCTCACCTGGCCCAACAACATAGTGAAGACAATGGTAATGTTGTGGTTTAGAGGAAATACTCGGCTTCAAACCTGTCGTATGTCGGGGCAGATGTTTTGTGGTCTCCTGTTTTCTAGCAAGTTGTCTCAGTGCATTCAATCATAACTAGCTGCTGTTTTGTTGTAGCTGCTTACTTTTGACTGCTTTATAGAGGAAATCCCCTCATGCACTAAAACAGTATGACATTATTACTTTAATTGTTAAAGTTTCATAAACATGCGTTTGTTTATTTTCCCAGAGTAAAGAGCGCGACGTTTTCCTAGTGAAGGAACACCCGGACCCGGGAAGCAAAGACCTAGAGGAGGAGTACCCCAAATTCGGTCTGCTGGATCAGGTATTTACTGCTAGTGGAGCAGATAGTGGGAAGATGGTTGGGTTTAAATACATATTTAATGTAAAACCTAAGCTGCTCTTGCTCATTTGTAGGACCTGGGAAACATTGGGCCCTCATATGACACACAGAAACAGAGTACTGCTACGCCTACGGCTGGTGGGCTCAATGGTAAGAGCATGACAGTAAACAGCTAAACTAAATAATCATTTCTACTTGCAAACCTGGCTACAGTAGCTCTGACTTTCTATTTAAACAAAGACCAAGGAGAAAAGAAAAGTTTCAGGGTGCTTTCACACCTGGAGTTTGGTTCATTTTGTCTGGACTAAAGTAAATAATGATTCACTGATGCATTTAATGCTGGTTCTTGTTCACACTGGAACAAGTTTGGACAGTTTTATTGACTGTATGGACCCACGTGGGGAAATCAGCCTCTGGTGACTGACAGGAGGTCATGTAGCACTTTACTGAACCTTATATGTTTGTTTATTGTCACAAAGAGTTCATGGAGAAAAAACACTGAACATGCATACTATTAGTCACGACTGTACCTGGACATTGTCCTGCTAGATAATAGTAGGACACAGACACGTCTTCCTTTCATTGTCTCATAGATTAAGAAAATCCCTGCACTCTGGTTACAGCAGGATCTTGTGTAATTACAGTCCATACATCACGTATACAAATCATGGGGTCTCTTTCTTATGAATTCATGACCAGCAGAAGGATTTCATAGTAGTTCAGTTTTTGCTCAAATCACTGCTACTATCATACTGTGCTTGGTCTGCTTTGCTTTGTGTTCACACCACAAACAAACTGCACCAGAATCTGCCTGGCAGCAGGACGAGGCCCTTCTTTTCATGCAGTCTGGTTCTTAGATCCTCTCCACAGTTTGACAGCTTTCACACCAGCCCAGACAAAATGCACTAAACAGGCAAACACTGCAGAGTTAAAGAAAACTGAACCAAGCAGGTTAGGTGTGAAAGCACCCTTAAAGCAGCTAATGACCAGTATAACCTCCCCAGACAGAGAGTAAGTGCTTGTTAAATGTGATGTGCCCATGGTGACTCTGTGCATTGTGTTCCAGGTGGATCTGCTTTCTCAGGTGACTATGTGGTATTTGGCATCTGGCGCTGATCATTGTGTTTTTGTGTCTTGTAACCTTCTGGATAGAAGTTGGCCCTGAGGTTCCAGTCAGACTTCAGTCGCCCCACCCTCCTCCCCACAGCTTAAACCAAACTTGAGCCAAACTGATCCTCAGTAATCATCTTGTGGGCAACTTCATCCATGTCCAGTTGTAACCTTCCTGTCTGCTCTCTGTTTGGTGCCCCCCCCTCCCACAAGCTTTGCCCCCTTTGGTCGGTGATCTTCCTCACCTCTGGCTTGCTGCTAACGGGCTCTGAAATCCCTAAAAATCTCCCCACTGGAATGACACTCTGCCCTCCATACAGCAACATATGTGAGAACAAAGTGCCATTTTTGATTTGCCACTGGCTTCATCCAATGCTAATTAGCCTCACCCTCTTCCTCGCAGTTTTGGGTCAGACCATTAGCCACCAGGCTTGACTGCGTAGCTGTCAGTCAGTGAGGATAATGATGTTTCTGAAGATTATGAAAGGTTTTTAAATTACCAGCATGACTGGTCTGACTTTTATTTGATAGACAAGAAGGTGGAGTTAGAGAGACTGAAGGTTGTGCATCCTTCCATAGGAGCCTGGCTTAGCCCCTCAGCTGTCCTGGGTGCCCGTATGCATTGACTTTAATTGTTTTCTTCTTATGTACAGATGTTACAGAAAATCATTATGTCAGAAAGAAAATCTAAAGTTCAGCAGAGTTTCTCAGATATAAAACTGTTTTCCACATGCAAAGGATCTGCACCAGTAGACTTGATGTGTTTTCTTTGCACTGATAAAGAGAGAAACTGATGAGCCAGTTGCTTTTCTAAAAAATGAACAAGACAGTTTTTGAATTGCCAGCATTTTTGTTTTTTGAGTTCTTGGCAACAGGGCAGCCACTGATTTGTCCTCTGTATGAAGGGGTGACTTAAATTCTTCTTTTGCCGCACAAACAATTAAACATGGTACAGATCAAGTTAGTTGGTTCTAATTAGTGTCTGGGAGGTAGAAGAAGAAAATCTTACTAGTGAATCCCTGCATCTGGCTCCTTAAAGTGAGTGTCTCTCACTGACAGTGTGATGTAGCAGGGCCACACAGAAGAGGCTTTATAGGAGGCTGATAGTGTTTGGAAAATGCCATGCAGACTAATTCCTGCCTTTTTGTCCCTGCTGTCTCCCTGTGTCCACCAACGCCTAATAACCTGCTTTCACTGTGTGTGTGTATGTGTGTGTGTGTGTGTGTACAAAACTAAAAAGACAGTTCTGTTAAAGTATATAATGACTAGTGCAAATGGAAGGTTTTCCTAGTGACCTTGGAGGTGGACGTATAAAAACTTTGAGGAGGCTTTGAAGCTTTGTACATAAATCTGCCCTCACCACAGTTCACCTGCTGGTAGTAACTCTGTCACCTAGTCTAAAACAGGGCGACAGTGTTTTAATGCTCACCCCTCCCTTGTAGTAAACTCAGTGGTTCTGTAGCTGTAATCTGGTCCAGAGTACTGCTCATCTCAGTGTCCTGTTATTAACCTGCATAAAACCATTGGTTTTGGAAGGGGGAGTTGTAAAAATAAAACCATAAAACCGCAGCAGCCCTTTAATAAATGCTGCCTTCATGAAGGTTGGATTCAGAGGTGAGAGGTCCATATACCTCCTTTGCCACTGACTGCCATTGTGTGTACAGTATGTGTCTGTGCATTTCTTTATGTTCAGTAGAATAATCTGTCTTTAAGGTGCTTTGGCTCCTGGCCCAGGAAAAGGACGAGGGGCCAAACGTAAACAGCAGCAGCAACAGGAAGGCACCACTGCTGGAGCCACCAAGAGAACCCGAAGGTAAAACAGCTGTCAGTGAACCTGCTGTTGTGTTTGTCCACTCTCTGCCTACATGGGCAAATCACAGACCCATATGTCTGTGATGCAAGCAGAGATGGACCTCCTTGTTTTTGGTTGCTGTTGCTTGAATGTTTATGCCTTGCTAATGTTTTTCCATTCAAATGTTATCAGTTGCAGTTGTTAGCTCACCCATGATTACACTTTAGCAGGGGCAAACTGCGTCTACCAGTAGAGCAGAAGGTGCTTATCATCAGTATATGCTGTAATTAGCTGTACTCTAGGGACTGACCTTGTATAAAGAGCGACAGGTTTGTGTAGTGAGCGGAACAGAGCCAACAGACTAAAGAAGACTAGGAGATGCAGCAGGATCCTACTAACCTATGGCACATTGATAACGGCCATTTAATGGAGCAGTAACTGTCAGAGTGGGCGCTTATTCCCTTCTTAAGGCATAGTAGCCTGCAGCACACCAAAATACCTGCACGTTGTTGACTATGTAAAATCCAGTGCACTGTTGTGATGCGTTGATGCACTTGAACACCTCAGCAAAGCAGCAGTTTCAAAGTTGCTTCCTGGATCAACACTTCTGTTGCTGTACCCTGGCTACTGTTTGTGTGCTAATGTGTGCTACAAGCATCATTAAGCTGGAAGAGGCCCCTTTTTAAACCCACCTGGGTTTACAGGTCTTCACAGAGGAATAAGAAATGTCAGGCTTTGTATACACAGACAAAACCTGCTTGTAGAATCGGGTTTTTATCCTATCATGGACTTTGTTGACAAGCTAGGTCCAGAGTATCGAATCAGTAACGATGCAAAGCAAACTTCTCCTCCCTCATTACAGCGACCCCCTGTTCTCGGCCCAGCGCCTGCCTCCCCACGGTTACCCGCTGGAACATCCCTTTAATAAAGACGGGTACCGTTACATCCTGGCAGAGCCAGACCCTCACGCCCCAGACCCGGAAAAGCTCGAGCTGGACTGCTGGGCCGGCAAACCCATCCCTGGAGACCTGTACAGGGCCTGTCTGTATGAGAGGGTGCTGCTGGCCTTACACGACAGAGGTACTCAGCAGGCAGACGCACCTTTCTGGGAAAAGTGGTTTAACCCTGCACTTGGTGTCTGTTTTTAAATGTCTTCAGAGTCTCGTTGTTATTCATGAACTGCCTTAAACTTTGAGATGATGTCTCGGCCAATGACAAATCATTTTGCCCCGTGTGGATGTAACCTGATTACTTTATCGTTCTGCACATTTCATGCAAACTAATTACAAGACACCAAAACGAGCTGTTTTACATGTGGGAATTGTTTCAGGTTGTGCATAAAATGATATCTTTTTTATTTTTATGACCAATTTAAATGTGAAATTGCATGTTTGTTAAATGGAAATACATTGTATTGGAAAAATTCATAATAATATAGTGATTTACAACATAATGTTTAGCTTTAATGTGCATTTGTTCTACGGTTGAAAGGGTATTAAATATTTTAACTCTTTTCTTTCACAGTTTATATTTGTCTCTGCCATTTGCAGTCATTAAGTGTCACAGGCTCCATGATTATTTGATGTGTATAAAAACTTGATTTTGCAGCGCCTCAGCTGAAGATCTCCGACGACCGTCTGACGGTAACCGGGGAGAAGGGTTACTCCATGGTGCGAGCCTCCCACGGCGTGCGGAAGGGCTCCTGGTACTTTGAGGTCTCTGTTGATGACATGCCTCCAGAGACAGCGGCCAGACTCGGCTGGTCTCAGCCGCTCGGTCAGTAACACCTCATACTCACACACACCTCTTCAGAATCAGAATCAGCTTTATTGGCCAGGTGTGTCGGACACACGAGGAATTTGGCTGTGGTACATCAGCTCTCAATGTGTATGTACATGTCCCAAGGGGCAAGTAAACAGTAAACCAGCATAAGGCTGTGTAAGATAACAAAAATAATAAGCAACGACCAGTGCAAACAATGCAAAATAAGCAGTATAAACAGGCAGTAAATAATGCAGACAAAGGAATGCTCATTGAAATGAGATAATAGGAATAAAGGAATAAAAATAGAGACATGGGCAAGGAGCAAATAAACAGTAAAAGTCTGCTATGGCGCCGTCTGTCCCAGCAGGGTTTGGTTTCATTTGGAGAGACAATGACACAGGTGTGTTCACCTGTTGGATCCCACTGGTAACTACTGGGAACACGGAGGTGACCTAAAACTTTGGACTAGTCAAAATTACAAACAGGACTTTGCATATATGCAGTGTGCAGTCGGAGTGAGGGCTTAATGGTTTTGGTAAAATAATCTTTTAAAATGTAAATCATTTTCCTGTTTGTTTCACAGGTAACCTGCAGGCACCTCTGGGCTACGACAAGTTCAGCTACTCATGGCGCAGTAAGAAGGGCACACGGTTTCACCAGTCCATAGGAAAGCATTATTCCTCAGGCTACGGTCAAGGAGACACGCTGGGCTTCTTCATAGAGCTGCCTGATGGCACAGAGACGGCCAAGGCTCTGCCTGACACTTACAAAGACAAGGTAACAGCAGCGTCATAGTGACAACTACACTGGCTGAACACGCATGACATTATCTTAAATTTGTTCTCTTGTCAGGCGCTGATTAAGTTCAAGAGCTATCTGTACTTTGAGGAGAAGGACTACGTGGACAAAGCAGAGAAAAGCCTGAAGTTCATGAGCTCCAGCAGGGTTAGCAAACTTCTCCAACAGAAAACCAGTTAGAAAACCTGACGCTGTTTGCTGCTGTTAACTTGTGGATCATGTTTTCAGATGATTTTCTACAAAAACGGAGTGAACCAAGGTGTTGCCTTTGAAAACCTGTTTGAAGGCATCTACTTTCCTGCCATCTCACTCTACAAGAGCTGCACGGTCAGTGCACATGTTGTGCTGCTGCTTTTTGGCCCTTTCTCATTTTGCTACTTCGCTAAAGTTCCCTTTGCCTCCTTTCAGGTTTCAGTCAATTTTGGGCCACATTTCAGATACCCCCCGAAGGACGTCAAGTATCAGCCGGTGAGAGCTTCTGTACACACTCACATTTTCCCACATGACCATACAGTCCTCACACAGACATTGACTGAGCTGTTGTTTGATCAAACAGATGAGTGACATGGGGTGGGGCGCCGTGATCGAACACACGCTGGCTGATATGCTGTACCACGTGGAGACGGAGGTGGAGGGACGACGCAGCCCTCCATGGGAAGGATGAGCACAGGAGGAATTTGGATTGCACACCCCCCCAGTTAAAACGTAGTTCCACCTTCGGACTGTAAAATGAAATCAACGCACACAGCTGTAAAATGTTTGTCTGATAGTTGGCCAACGCACACAGCTGTAAAATGTTTGTCAATAAAATCTTGGAATATTAGTTTTGCTGAACAGGAAGTTCAAACTTAGGGAACTTGTTCTAAGAGCGATTACAACACACTGATAGTTGGTGGCTGCATGTCATTATTTGTTAGTGTGCCTTCTGCAGACATTCCACCCCAACATTTAACAACTAATTCACATTATTTTTGGTGCTCTGCTTTGAAATATGTACATTTTAAGTTACTGTTATGCTGCAGAGTCCTAACGTAACATCATCTCTAAAACATCCATCATCCATTTTCTATACCGCTTAGTCCCAAACGGGGTCACGGGGGGCTGGAGCCAATCCCAGCCAGCTGCGGGCGAGAGGTGGGGTACACCCTGGACAGTCCACCGCAGATCTCTAAAACATGTTTTGGGAAATGTTTTCAACCCATGTGTATTTGCAGTGAAACACTTTATTTCACATAGTCGTTCTGTAGACAAGAGAGAAGTGAACAGTCTTTAGCGCACAGTCTTGCTAGTTTTATTTGTTTGATAATGTGTCATTTATTTACAGTTTTTTACTCTGTTAAATAAAAAAATGCTACATGGAAAAAATCATGAATGAAATCTGGATTTCAAACATATGCATTTGACATTAAACAAGTGGCTCCCAACATTTTCGGTGCTAACACTTGTATAAAACGTCAGAAAATACTGTAAAATGTCCATCACAGGTTCAGGGTGACACCTTCAGATGTCTTGTTTTGTCCAACCAACAGTCCAGAGCCCAAAAGGTTTAGTTTACTATCATGCAAGACTAGGAACATCTGTAAATATTGCGGTTTACAGTATGCTCAAAGAATTATCTCATATATATATATATAAGAAAAAAGGTAAAATAGAGAAAAGTTAGAAAAATTAAACTTCATATTTTACAATAGAGATGTAGAGTTAATCTGTTTATATACAAACAGGCGACAGATTAAAGACAAAACTTGAGCAAATGAGTGGGAAACATGCAGATGCTGGTGTGGTTTGGCTCCACTTGTCCCCTTAGAGGGAAGGATCAATACAAAGCTGTTCTGGGTGATCACCTTTATCCTCTAATGAAACAGTTCTCTCCTGATGTGAGCGGTCTTCTCCAGGATGACAGAGCCCCCCAATCCACAGGACACCAGGAGTCACTGACTGGTCTGATGAGGATGACCATGATGTGAACCAGATGCTGTGGCCTTCCCAGTCACCAGGTCTCAGCCCAGTTGAACAGCTATGGGAGATGTTGGAGCAACCACCCTCATCAAAACACCACATGAGGGAACATCTGGAAGAACCGCACCATAGTGGAAACAAACACAGAACCCCTGATGGATGTTACTCAGCCTGGCGCGTTTCGGTCAGTTCCTGTAATGGAAAAACTCCTTTCTGTGTTGGATTGTCCTTTAGTTTGTCACCTGTTTGTATTTAATGTGGATAAAACCCTGGTTTGGAATCAATGCATTAAACACATACAGTTTATTTAAGGCCCATGTTGCTGGTGGAATTAGTTTTGATGTTATGTAGTAACTTCATTTCTGCCTGTATCAAAATTCAAGTAGTAAACAAAAGCAGCTGCTGAGATAACTAAGATGGAAATATGGGGCATGTGCATAACTGACCGATTGAACGTGCTAACGTGTGCTAACATCATGTAGTAGAGATGTAAAAGAAACGGCAGCTTCTATTGTGCTTTGCTGCTACAGTGGGTGGATGCTGGTGGGCGTGGGAGTCCAGAGGGTCGTGCCGACTAGTCCTGACTTCATGAACGCTTCAGTGGTCTCCAAACTCTGCTTGTTTTCATCCGAAGAATCTAAAGGCTGCTGTTGGAGGAGAGAGGAGAAAGAAATGTTTAACTTTCATATATTGAAACACTTTGAGAAGCAGTGGACTGACTCTCACATGTCGGTGGAAGAGTCGACTCAGCAGGCCGCGCCTGGGGCTCTTGGGGGCCTTGGAGCAGTCCAGGTCTGGCGATCGAGATCCTTCAGGGCCAAAGAGGTTGAGCTCCTTGAAACACCCCGTCTCTATGATCTACAGTGGAGAGAAGGACAGAGACAGTAAAGCTGTTCTGATTGTGTCTGATGTACCTTAGAAATGAATGTACCTCATTTTGCCAGGTTATAGGGACACTGCCCGTGTTGAACTTGGAGTAGAATTCGTTGTCGGATTGGTTCAGCGTGACACCTTTCAATGTAGAAAACTCATCTATGTCATGCACATCACTGCAGTACACCTGTCTGGGCTGGAGGAGTAAAATTAGATCACAGCAGTCAGTGTCTTAGTTTTTATCAGACACCATTTATCACCCACCTTACAGTTTACAGTTTTGTCGTACAAGTACTTTGCTTATTTTAGAGCCACAGTTACTACTAACTTTGCATGTTAAGATCCATCCATCCATTATCTATACTGCTTAACCTTAAGGGGGTCATGGGGGGCTGGAGCCAATCCCAACTGACACTGGGCAAGAGGCGGGGTCCACCCTGGACAGGTCGCCAGTCTATCACAGGGCTGACACGTAGACAAACAACCACACTCACTCACACTCCTAAGGGCAATTTAGTCGCCAGTCAACCTAAGCTGCATGTCTTTGGACTGTGGGAGGAAGCCATAGTACCCAGAGTGGACCCACGCAGGCACAGGGAGAACATGCAAACTCCACACAGAAAGGCACCGGGTCAGCCGGGGCTCGAACCCGGAACCTTCCTGCAGTGAGGCGACACCATGCCGCCCTGCATGTTAAGAATGACATACAAAACATGTTGAGCTTATGAACAGTTTTGTGTCATTAAAGATTAAACTGGCCGACAGCTCGTAGTTCAAACTAGCTCCAAATTTGCTTCTTCCTGCACCAAAAGCTTTCGTCCGTCTCGTTCCCATGAACGTGAAACCTCATCAGCGGTTGAGGGAATTTCTTCAAATATGGTAGTGATTAGATTTTTCAGTTTTCACTAGATAAATTATGAGTCTGGACAGACATGCATGTAAAGCGAAAGCTGACCGGTTGGCAGAGGTGTACAGCTGCAAGGCAGTAATGAACCATTGTAAATCATTAAGGTACTTGCATCAGGTTTGAATGGAGGCTTCACGAGCCCGAGCTCCAACATCCTGAAGTTGATTTTTTGAAAGAAAGGATGTGCCTGTACTTCTCTCCCTTTTGAGTCCTGGCAGCCCAGCCTCCGTTTGGGGTCCTTGGTCAGCAGCTACAATGTCGTAAAGAAAACCTGTTCATGTCTTAAGTAAAAGAAAGATGGAGTTGATTGTGTTTTGAGCCACGAAAGCTCCGTGGAGCAGTTTCTGATGATTTCTAAGGACTCACCAGAGAGCAGAGGTCTTTCGCCACCATGCTGAACTTGTCACTGTATTCTTCCTGCCCCATCTGAATCCTTCTTTCCATCTCTGAGGTTTTAGGATGCTCTCCTCGGGCCCTGAATGGGGGCTGCCCGGCAGTCATTTCATAGACCAGGCAGCCGAGGCCCCACCAGTCCGCGCTCATCCCATAACGCTCGTGTCCGATCACCTCAGGAGCTGAAATCAGGATGTAAACCAATTAAACTCTGCATCTGCAGTTGGGTGATTGTGCATCTAAGCACTTGTAGATACAGATGTTAGTAGTTTTTTTTCCACTGATGTAGTCTGCAGGTGTCAAAGCAGGTTTTAGCCATATACCTTTGTTAGGGAGTCAACAGTTGACGGAAATGAAAAGTGAGAGAAGACCAGGAATGTTGCAGTTCGTGTATTTTAACTGTGGTTTTATTTCTGGTAATCCACCAGGAATGCTCACTTGCATGTTTGTGATTGGCCAATGCACTTCCCCCACTCCAATGAGGGTTGTGTGTTGTCATACTGACTTAACGCTGCCTAAGTCTGATTCACTGAACTTTGTTGTATTTTGCTTTCACCTTCATCAAGCGTAAAAACGTGTTTGCAATTCTTCACCATTTTTATATGTTTCCACTCAGGTTTTTTTTTAATGCACATAAAACAGGTGGATGGGTGGGTCACTGAACAGGCCTTCATACAGAGGTCCAGGGGCCCCTGATCCCTCTGGCCCCTGGACCTCTGTATGAAGTGACAGATAGCATTTCTTTTTGGAAAGTCAACCAGTAACAAATAGATGCAGATGAGTAAAACTATATTTAAATTGGACCCAAAGAGATGCAAATTAACAAAAGGACATGCAAGACCTCAGAGACAAACAAGTAAAATAGAGACAAACATAAACACTAAGACAGAAAACAAATAAAGAAAACAAATACTCTTATGTAGAAGGGTGGGGGCCTGTTACATGTCTGTGCCTCAGGCCCCATTGTCTCATAATCCAGCCATGGTGAGGAATGCCAACAAAACAAAATAAGAGTTAAACCTCTGGAGCACCTGGCCTCCCAGATAAACCTTCTGATGTGGGTTGACCTTTAGACCTTCTGACCAGTGATTACATGTAGAGCACCACAGCTGCTGGAACTCAACTTTTAATTTCGGAGGAGCTGGGTTTACATTACAGGTAGCGCTGCCAACATGGTGCGGCTGTAGACTACTTCCTCTTTTGGTTCAAAGTGTCAGTCAGCCTCTGTGGTGTTTCGCTCTGATAAAAACCTACAGACTCACGGCCCTCTGTGGACACTGGCCGGACAGTAATGTGAGGCACATACATACCCATATAGCCCAGTGTGCCCACCCTGCCTCGCACCAGCTTCCCCTCAGACAGCCTCACAGCCAGGCCCAAGTCTGAGATGCGGATGTGTCCTTGGGGAAACAAACAAGAAAATCCACTGAACTGGTTTCACAGATTTTTCCATTGTGCTGTGCTTTCCCTTTTGCCCTGCCAGGTTCTTCAGCTGTGCACCGAAGCATAATGCGTAATACAGTTGGTTCTGGGAACTAACAGACAAAACATGTGACGACTGTAACTGGTAATCTATAATTAGTAAGGCATGACAAGAGAGGGCTGCAGCACCTCAAACATGCTGCTGACAGTGAAGGAACAGGTTCCGAGGCTTCTTAAAAATAGATGACAGGCTTGTCAAAATACTATTGCTGTTTCCTTCTAGATAACAGGAAGACTCATCTGAAGAATGAATCTGATTAGCTGAGCGGTTGTCTGGCAGAACCTAAACTCTTATCATTTAAATCATTCAGCTAAGTTTCTGAGCTAAAAAATAGTCATGTCAGCAGGTTTTGGTCAAATGTTTCATGGTGCTCTGTCTGCACAGCTGCGAGTGTTTGTCAGTTAATGTTTAGCATCAGCTGTTGGTGTAGAACTAGTTATTGATCACCAATCACTGAAACAAACAGGAGGTGTTTGCTGTGGCTGAACATACCCTTGTCATCCAGCAGAATGTTTTCTGGTTTCAGATCCCTGTAAGAACATTTGTGTCAGTGCCTCCAGGACAGCACAGATGTTTTAATGTGTTGCTTACGTTTGCTTATGTTGCACTGACCTATATAATATCGACTTCTGGTGGAGGTGGATTAAACCGCAGCAGACTTCTGCAGCGTAGAAACAGACTCTTTCTGTGTCCAGGCCGGGCTTGCCGATGTTATAAATATGAAACCTTAAGTCCCCGCCGCTCATCATGGTCAAAACCATACAGAGGGCCTGCTTGGTCTCATAAGCATATGCCAGATTCACCTGAATGAAGAATGAGACAGTGCAGGTGTAGATTAGTTCAAAAGAATCTGGCAGTATTCACCAAATCTCATAAAAATACCAACAATGTGTTTGTGTTTTCCCTCTGCATACTGTCTGACTCCACTGGTTCCTAATGAAGACGTAAAGCTTAAAAACCACCTCACAAATACAGTTTCCTTTTTAAAAGAAGCTGAGTACTTTTTAAAACACCTGGGCGCAGGTGTCAACAAATACATCAGTACACACATGTATCTGCTTACAACTACAATACATCGGCCAGGTCTCCCTTCAAACAGAGATCCTGATCTCCGTGAGACTTCCTGGTAAAATAAAACAAAGTGTATTTTACATGGTTACCTTGCACCTATAAATGCTAAACAGGGGGACAAAATAAAGTGTTACCCACATTTGCTCTCTAGTGAGTACTGGGCAGCAGGACTGGGACAGTGGGGCCGTGCCAAAGTAAACTAATAAATGTTTAAAGAGTTCCTAGACAGCAATGGAGCTCTATGACAGAGGAGTAAGTTGGCTTTGGCTCCATGCTAGTAGCATTTTGGTGATGTTTGGTCATTTTATGGGATTTGTTGACAATAAGTACAGAGAATATCACCAGGCCGATTGTTGAAAATGTTCAAAACGCTGGAAAACAGGCTGAGAGCTAAAGCATTAAACAGAAGGAGCACAGCTGTTGTAATCTCACCACAAACCGACTGTCCAGGCTTTCCAGAATCTGTTTCTCATTAAGAGCCATGCTCTCTCCTTTCCTCGTCTTCACGTGGGTCTTTTCCAGCTTCTTGCAGGCGTACATCATACCTGTGGCACGCACCTGATAGGCCCACACCTGGACAGGAAGCAAAGTCTTATCAACATACAGTTAAGACTGCGGCACTCTCATCTGTATCTGTGCCACTAGTGATTAATAGGCATCAAACAAAAACTAACATATATGGAATTATGTTTTGGGCAAGTGTTAAAGCAAAATATGATTGTAAGAGTATCCACGGTTTGCCTTGATAAAAGCTTTGCATGCCATTGACAATATGTAGCTTAATGAGGCAGTCCCCAGAACGCATCAGGTGACCTGGCCTCCACAGCTGGCTGACCTAAAGCCAGCTGAGATGGTCTGGGAGGAGCTGGACTGCAGAGTGCAGGAAAACCAGCCACTATGTTGGACAACTGTCCCTGGTGACTACCTCATGAAGCTGGAGTGTGCATGGCGATTATCAAAGCAAAAGGTGGCGACTGTTTTGTTTGGTTTACTTTTCTTTACTTAATTCTGTGTTATTTTGAAATGTCCATGTTTGAGAAGCAGCTGATTAAATAATATGGCAGAGAATTAATTTGCCGTTACGGTGCTGTGACTGCAGCCTCACCTCTCCGAACCCTCCTTTCCCCAGCAGTCTGTACTTTCTGAATGTCTGCTTGGTGATGGGCTTCCTTGAAGACAGAAACACACTGTTCTCAGTCTGAATGGATCCATGGTTTTAAATAAAAGGTAAGAAGAGCAGTGGGACAAATGAGTCAACGCTGACTGTCTGTCAAGGACATGTAGATACTGAAGTGGACACCCAGCTCTGACGAGACCTGTCACGCGTTCGGTTTTGTGTCTCTCATTTCCTCTCAGAATGTGCACACTGACCTCTCCAACTGCTTCCACTGTAGAAAACGGTCAAAAAACATGCTCTTCTGGTACTGGATGAATGGCTCTCCACTGAGGTATTTATGCAGGTCTCTGATAAAGGAAAGAGTCAGGTTACTCATTATTCACTCAAAACATGTTCACACCTAGAACCAGGAGCATATGGACTTACTCCCTGCAGTCCCGAAACACGTCCCCACAGGGATCCTGGTCCAGGTTCTGGGTGCAGCTCTGTTTATGCTTCAGTGCAATGGACACACACTGAATGGACTGAGGGAATGTGGACAAAGTAGGTAAACGGTGTGTGGAACAGCAGCAGTGTCAGCATGTGTTGTTTTTAAAGTGCAGAATTGGAATGAAAATAAATAAACATGAATGTTTGTGAGTAGTAGAGAAGTGTTTTTTGTGTAGCTGTCAGACCTGAGTCATGAGGAATCTTTGAACAATGCTCATTCCAAAATCTCTCCTCTCCTCATCTGACTTTGTCTCAAAGGCATCCTGTAAAGGAGATAAAACAAGTAAATACACGTGTGTAGAAGCTCAGTATGAACATACAACACACTTCAGCTCTGAGATATTCTAAATACAGGAGACATTAACTGTTGTGAAAACTCACCAAAGTTCTGCAGTGACTGCATCCAGTGTAGTGAGCCAAGCTGGTTAGAGCAGCTCAAACCAAAGTGAATCATTTTACCAGACACATGTCTTTTTATTGCTTATCATTTGTGCTCCATCTGAATGGTGGCTGGCTCACTTTATCTGTCGTTTTTATCTTCTGAATGGATTTTTTGTTTATTGTGTTGTATGTTGTTGAATTTTAATATATTGTATTGTATTGTATTGTATGGCTGCCATCTTAGCCAGGTCTCCCTCGACAGAGATCTTGATCTCATAGGGAACTTCTTGGTAAAATAAAGGGTAAATACATTTTTAAAAAGGTAATTAACTTGTTAATCTGAGTAAGATTTGTGAAATACACAACAGATAAATGCATGTTACAGACTCTTTACCTCAGGTTGGCCTCTGAATATTATTCATTGTTCTAATTAAACAGTTTTTACTTATAAGCCACTGTCCCCAGTGAACATTAGTTTTAACCCACGTGACAGCATTGTGTATGTCTCCATAAAATAGCTAGGGCTGCAAGAGCTAATCGATAAAATCAAAACAAAATCGATGATAAAAATAGTTGGTAATGAATTTAATTGTGGATTGTTTGGGTCTAGTCACATAGTTGTGTGAGACAGACAGACAGACAGACAGACAGACAGACAGACAGACAGATAGATAGATAGATAGATAGATAGATAGATAGATAGATAGATAGAACCCAAGGGAGATTCAGGTAACCAGTAGCAGCTGCAATGATTACCCAAATCACAGCACCCAAAGTAAAGAAATGTATAAAAGTATAAGACTAAAATATTAAAAATGAGATATATATATATATCAAGTAACGTGTATACCGTATACATGTGGTATACATAATAAGTAAATGTACATGAGGTACCTGTGTACAATGCCAGTACGTGCAGGACTGAACATTGTGCAAGAATGAGCATTAAGAGGTAAAAACAAGGGTAAACAGAGCGTAGCACTATGGTACAGTGTCACAGTGAAGTGGAGCTGAGTGGTGACATCGCAGCAGAGAAAGGTGGACGCCCAGGTCATCTAATGTTTGAGAGCATTTTATTTTATCGTACAATCAGAAAGAAGACTGTCCGTTGCCAGATATTCAAAACATATCTGTAGTGGCAGGGGAGCATGAGGCTAATGCATTAGCACCTAACGAAAAGACATGTTGGAGTCAACTTTACAGAAGATGGGAGCTTGGAGTTATGTAGGCTAAGTCCTTAATTTAGTTAATAATGTAAGAAATTCTGAAACAAATGATGTACCTAAATTTTAAGTAATGTGGTTATGTTGTTAGGTAATGCTAATTACTGCTAATTATATATTTAGGAACATAATGGTGGGTTGAGTAGGCTGCTGATAACAGGTGCTAAATGCATTTGTGTTGCATTCATGTAACCATTAAACATGTGAACGTATTAAACACAGTAAGCAAAGCAGAGTTTTACAGGCATGTGCAGGAACATTGATGACACATGTGCAAGTCAATGGGGATAGTGCAGAGTACCTAGGGGCCTGGAGCCAATCCCAGCTGACACTGGACAAAGGGTGGTGTACAGAACTAGTACACCCTGGACAGGAAGCCAGTCTAACACATGCACATTTTTTATGCATCCAATTAATTATAGAAACAATCAACAGATTCATTGATTATTGAAAGAATTGTTAGTTGCAGCCATATTTCTACTTTTCCTCTACCTTTAGACATGTATTGGAGTCATGGTCATGTTTACAGACCTAGTCTATCCTCACATTGTTTTACAGACTCCATCACTGTGACTGAACAGCATTAACCTTTTCTCCTGATGAATTGTGTTGAGCAGTTTCTGGACTTGCTTCAGCCACAGTTGTTGGACTGCCTTGACATTTTTTCTTTAATATATCTAGTTTTCTTTGTGTTTTTCTAAGATGTGCTTCCTGAGCTTTAATTGTTGCAGTAGAGATCCTAAAGGTCACACGTCCCCTGAAAACATGCAGAGCTTTGACGTACCAGAGCGTCCTGGAGGGACATGTGGTTCTGCAGCTCGGGCTGACTCCGACAGAAGAGCTGAAACAGTTTCTTGCCAATAGGCTGCCTCACGCACAGACTATAGTAGTCTCGTTCTGACAGAGAAAATAAAGCACAATGTGAAATCACACAACAAACGACAACATGTATTGAGTTATAAAACACCCTGGTGCACACACCTATAGTTGTAGCCAGGTCATTACACTGACTAATGTGGGGGAAGCGCAGCATCTCTCTCCATTTCCAGCTCCTGCCGTTGCTTCCTACACCTGCAGACAGCAGCAGCGGCCGGACAGCACGGCAGTGAGGCAATTTTAGGCTGCAGTGTTGTGACCACACATGACCAGTGATGACTGTCAGCTCAGCCTGACACATCTATCAGTGGTGTGGCATAAACATGCACATGTACGTGCATACCTAGCCCGGCAGGTTTCAGACAACAGTATGCTCCACTACGGTAAACGAACTATTAATAGCTCTGGAAACAGGTAAGTTAAGCCTGTGGGGCCACATTACTTAGCGTTCAAACTTAAGTGGCCATGCTGTCACATCAAGATAGTATCTGAATTTACCATAAACACATTTGTTCATCAAGTCAAAGGCAACAGCACAGTGAATTCATGCTACTTCCAGGGAGGAATTAGTATTTCACTTTATTGAATATGGGTTCTAAACTCGGG